TCCAGCAGTGGCCTCTGACATGTTTTCTTCACTTATACAGCAATAACAAGGTATGTCACACATTCCTGTCTACTATTACATCCATCATTCAACACCATATACGTTTTTCATACATAACATAATTACATCGTAGTTTTGTATATGTCATGACAACAAAACCTTCAAATCTTTGAAACCATTGATGGCTACAGATGAGCACGATGTACAAATTCATCTACAAGACAAAAGACACCCAATAATAAACATTGTTATAAAAAATACAGCTTAACTCACCGTTAAAATAGAAGACAGGAAGTGCTGGTGAGACATCTGGGTAATATCCTTTCAGGCATTCTTTCGAAGCTCAGCAGCAGTAACCAGGACAGTCATCATGTGGCTCGTCCATGCTCGGTGAAAATAATCTGAAATGTAAAAAACACAGTAGTTCATAGTACAATTAAAACAATGACACTACCTTCCATTAAGTGCCACGTCTGCATTTCAGAGGGAAATATTGTACATGTAATCCACTACATTGTGTACAGTACATATGTTGTTTTATTGTGTTTTTTTCTGCTTGATGTTTGTTCTTGATGTAAAATAAGATGTATGTCTACATTGTAAAAGGGACGAGGAGGAAGAGAGAGAAAGAGATTGTCTTGCCTTATTGTCTATTATTGATTGCCGTGAGTAATACATTTTAAATTACATTTTGGAGTGTCAACTTAGACATCGAGACACTGCAATTAATTGATTTGTTTGTATTATTGTCTGATGTTTTATGGACAAAGCTTAAGAAATGTATCGCCGGATGATTTCATAAATAATCTAATAATGCTACTTACTATAGTAGCTTCTTTTGCTAAGCACCATTTTGAATTAAAACCTTTAACAGACAAAGAGGATCTTGTTGCGTTGGTTGTTTTACATTACCAAGCTATCTAAGTAACATTAATCAATATATGAGTGAAATGTTTTAATTTCCATGGTGGTATTGTATTGGACCTGCCTAAACAAATCTAAAAAAAAGAAACAGAAGTCTGCAATGCGAAATATAGTAACCTTTGATGTAAAAAAAAAAAAAGAATACTAATGCCATTAACTAGGTAACCTACAGGAAGCATGATAAAGTGTTGGGTATTTATGAAATCCAATCAAATTGCACTCAAAAATAAACATGCATAGGCCTACTGCATAATGTAAATATGTGTATGCGTTTCAAGACAATATTGTACAATAGGCTCTAACTTTTTCAAATATCATGACTTTTTTCAGTTAATCTAAGAATGTCTAAAGTTGAATGTTAGGGCAGTAGGTACAATGATCTTTTATTATTCACCTTGACTGGGACAAGTTTACATATTGGCAGAACATCTACTTTTAGACTCTCCCTTGACAATTACAGATTTTACATAAGTAGCATGGCGTTAACAAGAACAATTTACCTTAATTTACAATGTGAACAGCACTTTGCAGTTAATGTCTGACTGTCAGTCTGAGGAATTCCAGCGGCAGGTAGAAAATGACGTTCGCCGTTGTTAGCACTGTTAGCTTAGCATAAAATGATATCTATCAACAAACTCGACTAATTTATTCAACTTTTTATTCTCACCTCGACTTAACCTGTCTCGCTAGTTCTAGCCTAACTGCTAGTAGTGTATTAGTTGGGTTAATAAACACAAATATGAAACTTTTTTTCAAGTTAGTAAACTTCTAGCTGACTCCACTTAAGCAGCCAGGCACTTCCTGTTACGTTAATTACAACACCTGCGTGTTGAGTTCCGCTGCTTCCGTTCCCCCAACAGCCCTGACGTGTATTTATTATTATTATTATTTTTTAATCATTCATTAATTTATATATTCGTTCATATATTTTGTATGTATCATTATTAACATGTTGGATAGCAGCAGATTTGTCTGTGTGTGTGTGTGTGTGTGTGTGTGTGTGTGTGTGTGTGTGTGTGTGTGTGTGTGTGTGTGTGTGTGTGTGTGTGTGTTTGTAGTTAAATGGTGCTTAGTCGCACTTAAACTAGTTCACAATGCTTTTGATATTTTTCTTCCAGAATATGTTTAGACAACATGTTTTCATTTGAACGTGTAGGCCTACTATTGCCTAAATGCATGTTGGCCATCTACAATAAAAAAATGACTTCACATAATGAAACCAAAAGCACTTCAAGGATTGGAACACTTTACAAAAATGAAATTTTGAGTGTGAGTCCCTCCCTTAAGCGCAGATGTTCTCTGCAAATTGGTTGACAGATTTTCTTTCTATGCTTTCCCAAACACTGCATTAATTACAGAAGTTTTAAAGGAAACTTTGATTGTATTTCCTCTGAAATATGAGTAGCACTTTGTCAAAGACTTAGTCAAATAAAAAATAAAAATATGTTATCATATGTAACAACAAGTCAGCCCAATATCATATGCCTCAATGAATGGGCCCACACTTTTTAGTGGACAGGGACTCTAGTGACCTGATAAATGACAGTTACAAAATGCAAAAGAGAATACATTTCTACAAATAGAAATACCAAAAAGATCTGGGATAGTAAAGAGAAGTAAACAACACTGAAGAAATCAGGTGGCACAGAAAAAAGTTCGGCTGTTATTTTGAATACAGTACACAAAATAATATGACTAAAATGCTATGGATATGTTTGCATGGTCATATATGAGTTCAATAGTAATCACCTGAATAAACAGAATAGATTTCAGGGGACAGTTTGACCTCACTTCTGTACACATACTGAACTACCAGGGACACCATAGTATTGATGCTAAGGGAGCTTGTAATAGGTGTGCATAATTGATTAAAAGGCATTTATTTGAACATGTGCTGCTGATGTCTCCAAATGCTCGCTTTTATCCATGCATTAACCCTCCCCTCCTCCTCAAGCATCTTCCGTGCCCCAAAAACAAGACGCTCATTGTAATTCGCGAATCCTATTAGGATTGGCCCCAGAGTCGGCCTCTGCTTAGCAAATAAATAATGGTAATGATGATGATCCCTCATCTTGTCACTAGGGCTCTCCCCCGGGGCCCCCGCAGTGCAGGTGGAGGGATCCTCTCCTGTCCTAATTGGTTCCAACCCTGCAGTCTTCTCTCCAGCCTTTTCTCCCTCCCTCTTTTTCTCCTCACTCTCTCTCTGGGCCTCGGGACTCACTCAGTAAACTTGTCTTTCTTTATGTGTGAGTGTGTGTGTATTTGTTTGTGTGTATGTCGTCACTATCTTTTAATTTATTCTTGCAAAAGCATGAGATGAGACTTATACACCAGCACATTTTTTGTCTTTCTGACCCTGCGTGCACCGACAAACACTTACACACTCACGCACGCACGCACGCACACACGCACGCACACACACACACACACACACACACACACACACACACACACACACACACACACACTATGACTCTGACCCCTGGCCTGCAACGAGCCTATATACCACTATCACCATACCTCATTACAATTCCACTTTAAAACAGACACACAAGATTGAAAAATCATTTTGGATGTATGAGTAATGGAGATTAATAATCATACAAATCAGATTAAATAATTGAATTGTTGGCACCTCAATGAAAAATGAATGGGAATAAAATGGATGTTATTCTTCAAGTTATTAAAAGGATCTTGTCAAGGATTTAATCTAATGCTTCAGAGGTTCTGTCAGGAAATATGAGATTTGATACACATTCAAACTGTCCTACGCACACTTACACACCTATGTGTTACAAAAATGGAAGAAAAATAAAACATTCAAAAAATAAATCAGGTCAGTAAGCTTTATATAAAGCCTAAAATGTTGTTATGTTCCGTTGAGGACTTAGAAAAGAGACAGTTTAAGCATTGGCCCATGGAGCAGACTTTCTGAAATATTTCTCTAAAGATCAATACCTTCTCTGCTAGGCAAAGAGAATCTCTAATATAGTTTTATGTTATTATTTCTCCTCACACATTGTTACATTTCTCACTGGCTGGCAGAGGAGAAGATGGATTTTCTATTCGACTGGATGCTAAATGTGGTTCTGAACACGGTGGGTCAATGAGATGATGCAGAGCCTGCACTCTTAAAAAGGGATGCGCCACATTCTGCACATCCATAAGTGCAGTTTGACACCTCACAAAGTTATATTACCTTTTGATGCTGTGCAAACGTGCTGCAAATTAAGCATTCAAGAAGATGTCTGATATGCATGGAAAGTAACAAGCTGTGTGCCTGAAACTGCGCCCATGGGTGTGATCATTAACAACTTGGTATCACGGATTAGGGAGAGGGAATTATCAAGCTATTATCTGTCACGTGATCTCTGAATTTAGAAAGAACCATAGATAATGAGGAAAGCTGATAATACAATGTCTGCATGGGAACATAATCACTTAAAAACACTGTATTTGGGAAGTCTCATGGTTTCTAGTGACCAAACATAATTATTCCAGCAGCTCTGCACAGTTTTTCAAAACCACACTATCATTAAATAATTTCTCCCTATTTGCCAGCCTGAGATGTTTTGGCCTGGAAGCCCCCACATTCGCTTCACAACTATTATTGACAATGAGAATGTAAGCTCTACAAGGGGCAATGGGGACCTCTGTTGGGTAAAATCATCATTGCATGATCACTGTGTCTCCGGACCACTTTGTTTTCAGTGTAGTATACTTTTACACATGCAAAATCTTCTTATATATTACATTAGATTGTAATGTATTGGGGATTTGTGAAATTAAAAAAATAGTGCTTTATGTTGAGGTTATGAACCTTTTATAACTCTCCAATGTTATGTATGTGTCATTGTTTGATATAAACCTGAGCAAATACAAGTTTAACAGTTGGTCTCTTGATGTGGTGTCTGGCATTAAACAGATTCATTGCCACAGCATCAAACCGTCACCCCACCCCATGCCCTCAACCTCTCACCAGTGCACTCTCATACTCAGACACACACACACTCATATAAAATCATCCACCCACCCGATCCACAAACATTTTGGCAACCCTCCTCCATCCTGCCTGTCTAGAGTGGCAGGGTCAGGGGGTCGGGGATGACAACATGGCAGCTGTGATATCTTCCAACGCGGTTACCATGGGTCCTCAGCCACATGAAGCAGAGGCTGTTTCCCAGGAGGAGGTGACCCGTGTCTGAAGGGGTGCCCTGTTGTCCTATCAGAGGGCTGCTGAAGCCTGGCAGCGCTACCTGCTCGGGCCACGCTGCTCCCTTTTTCCTTTGACAGACAACAGAGTGGGAAGGAGGTGTGACCAGGCAACTCATCATCTGCATCCAAAAGTGATCGTTGAAAGAATGAGAGAGAGGGAGAGAACAACATAAACATAAACAAAGGGGGGATCTATCCTAGAGTAGTGACACAGCAAATGTACAAGAATTAAAGAATGTATTGTATTAACAACAATCAGAAGGCAAGATGAAATGTTAAAATAGATATGTACGTTAACAAATAAAAGTGAACCTGTCTCTGTCTATCTAGCTGTCGTGTTATCCAGGCCTGAAGTCACTAGTGGAATGTCTCTTTGGACGTTCAGATGCCATTCCCTGCATACCTGATCTCTGAGCTGTCACTTTACATAGCGAGCCATCCCCACAGTGTTTCCTAAGGATAATTACACTGCACTCAGGGTAGCTACAGAAAATAGCTCTGCATCCTTTTGAAGTTCTGGAAAATGCCTCCGTCTCATTTGAATTGAGAAACAAAATGATAGATAAAATAAAAGCTTTCTCCCATCCAATATGAATGACTCCAAAAACAATAATGGCTCAGAAATACAGCACATATTCACCAAATTATGTTCAGTTACTCAGAAATCTTTGACAGTTCCTTTTAACACACACACGCATACACACACACACACACACACACACACACACACACACACACACACACACACACACACACACACACACACACACACACACTGTCCAGTTTCTCTCCTGTCTCTCTAACTTTGTCTTACTGTATTTAATAGGGCAAGATACTTAAGCCTGAGTTGCTCCCGATGGTCAATGGTGTGTGTGTGTGTGTGTGTGTGTGTGTGTGTGTGTGTGTGTGTGTGTGTGTGTGTGTGTGTATGTGCTGTGTGTGTGTGTGTGTGTGTGTGTGTGTGTTTGTTTGTGTGTGTGTTAACCTGGTCTTTCTTCAGAGTGATTTGGCCCCTCTCCTTGTTGCAGACAAAGGAGCGAGTGACAGTGTAGACCCCCTCTCCTGCTCGCACTCGGATGATGTAGTTGGCCGGGAAGAAGCCGGTTCTCTCTCTGATCTTCCCCTGGTGGATGAAAGCTTTTACAGTGAAGTGGTGCAGCCCCAGTTTCTAATGTAGTGTTCATGAACATATTGCTCATTGTAGCTTTGTAACCTGAGTGACCTGAAAGCAAAGACCAATGTCAGGACTGTAAGTGCAATAGCTAATCAGGGGTAGATAGACACTGTATGGTGCGGCCTACTTTGAATGATGTTCATTCAAAGAAAAAGCCTATTTAACCATAGAGACCAGAATGAGGGAAATAAAAGTGGGCTGAAGCCTAGAAACTGTAAATTATAAATGAATATTTTGACTTGGAACTTTTTTTAAAGTATCATTTTGAAGTATAAAAGGTCAAAACTTAGGAACAGATTGCCATCTTGCAAAACTGCAGATCTATGTATCAGAGTTGAACGCTTTACTCGTTTCAAACCTCAATCCACAATAACTCTTCTTTCTCCAAAAACGAAGTCCTGGAGAATGAACAAAATCTACCTAACTGATCATAAAGCGATTGAGAAGTTTCTGTAAAGTAAAAAAAAAAAAAAACACACAGAGGAATATGAGAAAACTAATCTACAGTAGGACTCACCTTCCACCATTCCTCATTGGAGTCATCTATCACTGTGATGCAGTCACCAGCACTTGGGAACACAGGATATTAAATATTCAAATAAAGAAGAGACACAAAAAACAGTATGTTTGCTGGCAGTGAGACAGTCAGGGAAATAGTATAAAAGAAGAGCTTTACAGACACTAAGAGAGAGATTAAGCGAGTTGTGG